CAGCGTCCTCTCCATACTGGATGCAGTTGTCAATCTGAGATAAGATGTACTGTATGCTGCAAAATGGTAGAGAACATTGGTCTTGGTCATTAAGACTACATAGCACAAAAGGTGCCTTTCAACAGGCTATGTACATACACATTCACACAAATGAGTTATCATTTGACTGGTGGTTCAAACATCTAATGTATGTATCCCTAATGTCAGAAAGTTCTTTGTACTCATAAGTTTACCAACCAAGCAATTTCAATAAGAAAAGGCTAATATCTGGACACTAGACGCACATATATCACTCTACTGTCAACATCACATTGTTATTTGACAACACTACTATGAGAACCCAGAACAGGAAGCAGGGAATGAAAAAATGCGCACCAGGTACACATTGACAGTCGAGACACTAAAAACATCAATAAATTCATATTTTCCATAAGTAAATCAAGCTTTAAAATTCAATCTACGGGCCAAACAAACCTCTGCTTCCCATGTAGAATATGCTAAGGACCCATCTGACCATAAAAAATATTCACTTTTTTCAAGAATATCCTCACTCTGTTCATATCTGATAAATGCATAATCCAGTTCTATTTCTGCCAGTGGTTTTGTTAATTAGCATTTTTTTCCTTTCAAAAATCTATGAGATTGTGTACAAGAAAAGCTGGTATAATCGTAGTGGTATGCACCTAGTGGTGTAGAGCAGTTTTAGGAATAAAATTCTTTTGCTAGCTTTTACAATGTCATTATAATCACCAACTAGAAAGCTGGACCAGAATCATTTAAAACAGGGTAATGCAGTTAGGGGTCGTTTGGTAGAGTGTATAAGAATAATGCTAAATAGAATGTATTAGTAATGCTTGCATTAACAATGCATGTATTAGTTACGCTTGCATTAATTATATATAGATTATTTTAATGCATTGTTTGGTTTGATGCATTAAAAACAGTATGTATTGCATTAAAAAAATTATTTACAAAGAAGGTACTAGTAATACACAAGGCTAATACATGCATTATTTTCCTAATACACTCTACCAAACGACCCCTTAAAGAATTGTTTGAGATATTATTAAGTCAAGTTGGGTGATTTTGCTAGTTTTTAGAAATTGGTATAAATCATATTTCATGTTTATTTAGAAAAAGTACACTAAAAAATTAACATTATTCCTCATATTGTTTGAAAAACGTATAATCAAACATAACGTAATTTATTTAGGTTTCTATGGCCAAATGCCTACTCAAATTTACCACCCGAGTATATTACCTGCTCTCTTTTCTCAGGTCAAGAGGGATAAAGCTCACCATGCTGTACTGGTCCACCTGTACACAAGAAAATAACGTCCATTACGAATCACTTTCTTCTTATATCTTTTCATTAGAAAAAAGCCATGAGTCAAGTACAGCGAAATCAGTGGCAGACAAGGCATATCCTACGAGCCTATACAATCTCGTATCTAATTTAGGAGAAAGAACCTCTTTAAGTTGTCATTAAGTACCAATGTAAAAGACAATAATGAGGTACAAAAGACATGATAGTCAATTCAATAACTAATACACAAATTCTTGGAAACATCATAACTATCAGAGCTTACCACTTCAATCAATGATTTGTTAAGCTTTTGAAATTGTGGAGCCATTCGCTGATTCAATTCTGCCAGTAACAGATGCGGCTCTGGATTCAAGTAACTAAAGGAAAAGTATATTTTAATAAACTCTAAAACAATGAAGGGCCAAAGACATAGAGAAGATGGTTATAGTAGGACTAACTTCTCAACTTCCTTTTTGTTTGTCACAAGATCCATTTTTGAGAGTATGTTAACATGGGGTAGTTCAAGTTGAACCATAGCAGAGAGTGAAGCCATACAACCACTTATGAATTTGGTCACATCTGTAATAAACTGAGATACCAAAAGAACATGAACATCCATGGACAACAGAAGGGGAGGGAAAAAAGAAGAAGAGATTCAACTTGTAAAGACCACGCACCTGAGAATCAAGTAAATATACAACACAAACATTAAAATTTTTACGCCTCAGGTGTTCCACGAAGTTCTTCAGCACAGGAACATGTGAGAAAAGCTCAATCTGGCCTATATAATGATGAGAAGTAAGTAATCTTTATATATATGTGTCTATGTGTCTGTGAGTGCATCTGTGCATATCTTTCTACAAATATGTTTGTTAAGAGACAAGACTACTGGTCAGTGTAGAAGTTTAGATAGTGGGTAGTCATAATCAGGAGACAAATGTCCAAAGAGCAAAAATATAACAATGTAGAAATACAGTTGGGAAACTTGAAAGGACTTTTCCTGAGTTAAGTAGGAATTACATGAGTGCACTGAACTAATATGAATTGCTTGATCATATTTAATCTTCAGTGACTTGACAAGAGAAAGAGAAAACACCATAACTATTTCCTTGGGATAGAAAGATGGAGCCCAATGAGTGGAAAAGGTAGGAGGTTCTCAGTTTGATGTGAGCCTTAAGTAATACATTTACAAATAACAAAATCTTAAGTTCTCATCTCATATCTAAGATTGCTCCATCATTGTCCAATAGAGTAGAAGCTTCTTAATCTCGTAAGTTGCATAACCCATTATCTCAATATTGGAAGTACGACAGAACAGATAACAGAATCTCAAACTCTCTCTCATCTCACTAATTTTTCTTTTTCTAAAACAACTGTCTACTACCCAGCAACAGGATATGCAATCAGCTTCTAAGATCAGTCAACATGAATCTATCCTTGACTAATCATCAGGAGTATATATCTGAGCATACAATATTCATTCACTGATAATATACTCACGAGAAACAAGGAGGGATGTCATGGACATGAACATGGCAATAAGATCTCAAAATCAATTTAGATGGTTCGATACAAATGTGTGCAGTAGTACAACATTCCAAAGTCATTTAACAAGAAACAGCTAGCCCTTGATTTTATTCCATGAACTATCTAATTGGCAAGCATATGAAAAGACAATTTTAAGGAAAAACACAGCTGCTAGTCAAACTCTCCGAGATGGTCCACCATCCTACGTCCCCAGAGTATTTACTTACATGAAGTTATGTTAGTAATATTCTAGGTTAGTATCTTAGCCTACTGCTAATAAAATTCTGTAGGTCTACACATGAGAGTTAGCAGTAAATGTGTAAAGGAAAAATATTACATACCTATATGATGATTGTACTACTGCTAATAAGAACAACAAATATGAGAGGGCAAAAGTACAAGTACCTGGGCAGTCAAAGACTAGGTAGTCATCATCCAAGTAGTTTTCCAACTCTTCTGTTAGCCACTCGTCCAAATTTTCTTCAAGATGTCTGAGATCACCATCAAGGGATTACAAATTTGATCAGGGACAAAAGTAGAATGTTAAAGTTTCCATTCATTAGAACTGGGACTCAAAAAACGACAATCTTTTAGGGAAGGATACTCCATGCAATACATAAGGCCACCATTTGGTCCCAAACCAAGTTCTTCCATAACATCATCCAGCGAGATGAGCTCTCTGATGTCTGCAGCAAATATCAGTAAGTTAATTCTAGAATTAAGACACATATACAGAGCAAACTAATTACTTAAAATAATTTATCTCCACTCAAATAACTTAAAATGCTTCATCTCTACTCACCCATAGCCACTGGATAGTCAAAATTCTCTGCAGCAGGATCTAGGTTCACAATATGGATAGTGCGTCGTGTGGTCTCACAATGTTGATACAAACTCGAGCAGTAAGTGGACTGTAAAAAAAATGTAGTCTAGCTGAAACTAACCATACCAGGACATCCAGGTATAAAGCAAGGGTAAGTCCATTACAGTAACATGAAACAATATAATTCAGGTATCACCTTTCCACTGCCGGCAGGGCCAATAACCAACTGTGCATAGCCCATGATCACTCCCTTTTATGTTCCTTCTACACGTGGCCAAGAGATCAACTGAAGACACAGGTTCTAAGAAAACTGAAAATCTGAAAGACGCCAAGAACTGCAACTAACATGTATGTTGCACACCACACACCAGCCGCGAACAAGAAGCTTAGTACATCAGCATGTCCCATAAGCATAATCACGAGAAAATAAACATGATAATATCACCTGAACTACCCATTAATAGAGTCAAAAAGAAAAAAAAAAGTATAGTTGAAAACTGCTAAAAAGAATTTCTATGAAATAGGCTCATATAACAGCCCCTGCAAGCTCTACAGCTTGTTTTGTATGGTTGTATTGAATTGTTAGTTAAAACTTTAAATACAATGTTTATTTTGATTGTCACTTAAATTTTATTATATAGTATGGCTAACCAAATTCATTGTTATGTAACAATGAAAAGTTCCCTTTTTTATGAAAGTACCTGTTTTATAGCAGCTTTACCACATACCTCAGATAAACTGACTTTGGATAAAGAAAAAAGTAGCACAACACACAAACTGAGGCGTGATTGTTGGGATGTGAGGGAAAGGGGAAGAAGATTCTAGCAGGTAAAGAAAATAGAGTTTGGGAGTGAACCGACATTCACTCAACTGTGTATATGAAGGTCTCGCATCAAGAACAAACTACTCAATACTTGTATTTTTATTTTGAGGTATGTATGTATAAGACATTCCAATCTCTTATTGGTTTCAGAAACCCAACAACCCATTGATCGCGAAGAAAAATGGTACCAGCAAAAGAAGACACATAACAAATAACACAGAAAGAGATTTAATTAACCATAAAAAATAGACATATATATTTTTTTTGTAGAAAGAAGAATCAAGAAGTTACCAGAAATTGCAGAGAGAAATAGGAAGTCTTCTTCGTCTTCCACCTTTTAGCCAGCCCCCCTCTTTTTCTGTACCGACTACCGCGTCAAAAAGCTTTAAATATATAGCTGATTTTATTTGGTCTGGGCCGCTGGGCCCTCTTCAAGCCCACAACCTATTCGGGTCGGTTATGCTTTTAGAAAACGAACCATAGTGAGTAATATTTTTTCCCCAAAACGTTGGCCTTCAATTTCCTCCGTCTCCGATATCGTTTCAGGTAAAACATTTGTTTTCTCCTTTCCTCTTCAATCCATTGTTTTTGTTTTCGGCAACAACTCTTACTTCCTGCTTCCACATACTCTATCTTTCTTCTTTGTGAATATATATAACTGTATTTGGACTTTGGTGGTTTCAAGCTTGCTAAGCTTTGTAGCTGAAATGTGATAGTAGCTGATAACTTGGAGTACTAAGAGAGAGCGTTTTATTTCCTCAGGTTGATACCATCATTCCGGACATTTTTTAAATGAATTATTAGTAGCATTTTCTTGAGATTTTTTCTACATGAATAACGGAACCTCATTTTCCTGCATTTTCTTTTACTTCCAGTTTTCCATAAAGTCAAGTGACTGGGTTGTTGTAAGATACTACCCTAAATATGGGAAACACTAACAAGGAACTTGGTTGAGCACCGGAGCCTGTTTGTGTTGCCTGAATGGAAGTAGCTGATAAGCATTTAGTGTTGACAAATCAACTTTTAGTCTTGAAACTGATTTTATATGAACAATTACGTATATGGATACAAGTGTTGTAATCAATAATAAACAGTTGATGTGTTTGGTTAAAAAGTGCTAATCCATAATAATTTTTTTTGACATAATGACTGATATGTCCTTAAGGATTAAAAATGAACAAATTCACTGGAAGGCGCAAGTAGGATATATTGAAGATAAAATGCAAAAAGGTCGCTTGAGAAGGTTTGGACATGTTTTGTGTCGAACCTACAGATGCATTGGTTCATTAGTGTGAAGCTATGGCAGTGAAGGCGTTAAAAGAGGACAGGTAGAGACAAATAACATGGAAGAAAGTTGTATCCAAAGATCTACAAATTCGTGGTATGAATGTAGGCTTAGGTAAAGATATGGCACAATAGAAGAAAAACATTCATATCGGTGACACTTACTTGTTGAGATAAGTATTAGAAGATTCACTGCAAAATAATATCAGTGGTGGTTAGGGTTTTGAGTTGACCTCAAATTTATACCTGAAATCCCTCCCCCTCCCCTTTTTTCCTTTTCCTATCCAAAAACCCTAATTCGTCAATAATCCGATGCAGGTTAGTTCTGTTCATTGCTCACTCAAAAAATCATTGCTTCATAACCCTAAGGACTAATTTCACATTGACTCGCTCTTTCTTTTTTCTTTTAAATCAATCGTTATAGAATTGGTTACATCTCAATCCCAAACTAGTTGGGATGGGATGGGATATTTAACTAGAATTTGACTATGTAATTTTAGTTTAACTATTTTATGCTAGTTGTTAAGGTCTCAGGTTTTGCTCTTTTAGCTCTGAAAGTAAAGAATAAAATGGTTAAATATGAGGCCAAACAAATGGAATCTATGCAAACTACTTGTTTATCTAGTTATATACTTATATTAACCCTCTCCTTAGTACTATTACCTATATAGAACTGCTGTCACTTCAAAATGAATGACACATCTTCACCCTTGTCTTGTGAGATTTCCTGTAGACCTGTATTATACTATTGAGTGGTGCTCTACAGCCCAGTGAGATGTGTGTTTAGATTCAAGTATGGGAAATACATGTTCTATAAGATTTTGAGGTTTGAGTTTGTCCTTAGTTCTCTCCTTAAAACTGAACTCTTTGATTTACTACCATTTTTGTATTCATTGAAAACATAATTTGGACTAACCTGCGCCTACGCCAGTGTGATTTTTCAGATAAAATGCTTCAGTTATTTCTATCTCAACCATCTTGGAAGGAAAATGCAACTGACGAATCAGTTGAGCAGAGAAAAGCTCTTCTGAATGAGCTAGAATCAGTCATCTGGTCACTGATGTTGGTGGAAGGGCGATCTGAGTGTCGGCTTTGGCTTTCTAATGCAGTCGCAGAGATGAGGTCTATAACACCACGTAATCAACGCGAGTTATTCATGACTTTATTGAGGTCTAAGCCTCTAAAACAGCCCTTAGTTGGACAACTTCTACAATTGCTTTTCCAGAAGGAACCTCAGAAAGCAGGGCTTATCATTGCAAAGAAATGTTTTTTATTAGAAAATTTCTTCAAAGGCAAGTTTTTACTCTTTTACTTGAGTTAGTGGATTCATCTTGATTTTTTCGTTTTCTTTAACTTGGTTATCAAGCTTCTTTTTGCTTGATCCATGAGCTTTGGCTTCTAATTTTTCCCATGAAGTTTCTCTGATTTTAGCTTGTTTTTCATGTCAACGTTATCAATATCTTACTGAATTGATTGACTCTTTCCATGAGATATATTGTCTTTTGAAGGTGGCAGCTGAATCAATATATTAGTCGAAGTTATCAATATCTTACTGTTCTTTTTTAGTATGCTTTGTCATGCTTTCTTTAGCATTTTGTCTAGGCTTCTTCACTCTTGTTGTTTTCTTTTTTCAAACTTCTTTGTAATGCTTTTACTTTCCTTGAGGGTCTATTGGAAACCTCTCTACCTTGTACGGGTAAGGTCTGTATACACACTATCCTCCCCAGACCCCAGTGTAGGGGTGACAATTTCAGCCCATATAAGTGAAATGGAACCATTTTCCCCATATTAAACTAAATGGATCGCTCATATTTTTTTAAATGGGTAAATATGGACTTCAACCTATTTAAGCTCATACAAATATAGACAAAATGGGTGAACATGAGAATCCATATATACCCATATATCACTCTCTTATCATCAAAATTCCTAATTGCACAATTTAGTTTTGAAAATAAAATATAAAAAATGGGGGGTGGGGGAAAAAAAATAAATTTGGAAAGTTTTATAAAACTTTTTTGGGTGTGGGTGGGAGGTGTCCTAGGGTGTGGTGGTGGGAGGTAGGGGTTGCAAAAAAAAAATTTAAAATTTTTGAGTACCACATCCCATCTTGCTCATAGTTGGCTGATTTCTCTTCTCCTTAGAGCATTTCCCCCCAGATTATATCTCTATAACCACTTTAGCAATAGACTGATGTTTTGAGCCTTCAGATTTTTAATGCACAAACAACCTCTCTCCTTGCTAGTAATTGAGGATTTTCATTTTGCTAAGTGGCTAACTTGATTCTCTTTGTTGCCTTGTCAAATGAAATTCCTTCCCAGCGCATCAGTTTTCTCCCTTACATTTCAAGGTAGAGGAAACAAAGACATCACATAAGTGCGTAAAGCATCTAGAACAATGTTGACCAAAGCTTGTCAGTCTCTTCTCATAGCTATCTACCATCCCATTGAATAATTCAAGAGCAATATTTTTAGAACCAAATCAAACAGTGGGTAGGGAGCCTACCGCACATCCCAGAATGGCTGCCATGGTTTGAATATCCTCCAGTTCTTTGGTTGGATAAATCATACTCTTCCTCCAATTCACATGAAGCTTGGAGACTGCCTCAAACATGATTAGAATTAACCTAAGATATCTTAAGGGTTTTGCCTTTGCCTCACAAAAAAAATCAAAGAATAGATGCATAAAGAAGATGTGTGATTTCCACATTTTCCCTTCCCTTGTTAGAAGCATTGAAACCTTTTAACCAGCCATTGCAGCTTGCACACTTTAGCATTTGATTCAAACCTTCCATGACAAAGAGGAATAAGAAAGGTGATAAATGACCACCTTGTCTCAAACCTCTCTGAGAAGAGAAAAAGCCTTTAGGGGAGCCATTCACCAAAATAGAAAACCTGATTGTCTCGATACAAAAAGCTGTCTAGTTGATTCACTTACTGCCAAAATCCATAGCTTTAAGCACCTTGAAAAGGAAACCCCAGTTAAGTTAACATGATCATAGGTCTTCTCAATATCAAGCTTACAATGAACACCAGATTCTCGCCCTTTTACTCTAGTATTCACACATTTTCATTGACAATCAAAGAAGCATCCATGATTTGTCTTCCTCTTAAAAATGGAAAAGGTCCAAATATACCCCTGGACTATTTGAAATAATTGAAATATACCCCTCGTTATACTTTCGAGCTAAATATAGCCCTCCCGTTATACTTTTGGGCTAAATATACCCATATAACTAACAGAGGGATTAAAAGAACTATTCAATTTAAAATAGATCTAATTCGGATATAACCCACCCCGCCCCAATAATATAATCCGGCCTAATCAATAACATTGACCCACCCAATTTATCTTTCAAACAAAGAAACCTACTTGCCCACCGGCTCACTGGCTGCTCTATTTCCTCTCTTCTTTTCTGTGGTTCAACTTCTACATATGAGTTATTGCTGAAAGTGGGTTGTAGGAGTTATTGTAGGACAACCTTGAATTGAATTAGGAATTTGTTTCCTTTCTATTCTATTAGTGCCCTATCAGCTTGTAACCCGAGGACATCATACACACACTTGTTGCGATATCCTTTTACACGGAGGCATGAGCAATTTTGTACTACTGCAGGAAATAAGAAAAAACAAAAATTACCTGTAACTTTTATTGTTGGAGAGAACTTAATTAGGGGCATGAACAATGTTATTGATTAGGTTATGTTATTTATTGGGGTGGGATGAGTTATATCCGAATTGGATCTATTTTAAATTGAATGGTTCTTTTAATCCTAGTCGTCTATGTTTCCCTCTGTTAGTTATAAGGGTATATTTAGCCTGAAAGTATAATGGGAGGGGTATATTTAGTCCGAAAGTATAACGAGGGGTATATTTAAACTATTTTCAATAGTACAAGGGTATACCCATTCACCAGCTTATATGCCACCTTCTTCAACGTCTTTGGCAATAGATTTGAAATAATCTTGTACACACTTCCTATTAAAGTAATAGGTCTGAAGTCCTTGAGTTCCTTAGTGTGAGAAATATTGGAGAAGAATATAATTGAATTGTGTATCTACATTCTTACACAGAGATCCTATTTATAAACACTACAATACAATCCTTATAAAGTAGGAAATTATATACTATTCCTATTCTTATCACAATTCTAAGGGCCCGTTTGACCATGCAATATGAAATCATGATTTGAAATTATGATATGAAATCATGATTTGAAATTATGAGATGAAGTTGAAGTTTTGTTTGGACATGCAATTTGGACTTTTTTTATCGTATGTTTTCTCAGAAACATAAAATCCCCATAGTTGGTAAAACTATTAAAATTGTCCCAATTCTTTATACAATCTTACCAAAAAAGTAAAAGCTTATAAAATCGCATAATATACTATCAAAAAACTATTCTAAAGAAAATACACCACTTATTGATCAAACCTTAATTCAATAAAAAAATAAAATTGAACATAAGTTGTAGTGTTCAAGTGGTTAGCAACTAAGAAAATTATATTTTCAATTAATGTCACAGTGGTTAGTCTTGTCCACTCAATATAATGATGAAACATTTTTTTTATTAAACATTGATTTGAATGAAGTAGTGATAAATTTGATAAAAAATAATGAATTTGATGAATATAAATGGTAAATTAAAAATTGATTTGAAATAAAAATAAATTTTATATTGGCGAGAATAATCATTATACGAGATATAAACGGTTTAAAAAGTAATGATATGAATTATAAATTTTATTTACATATGAAACAAATGGCTAGTAGATATATATAAATTAAATGTGGGTTTTTTACAAAGTATAAACTTGTAGGTCAATTTTTATATTTGAAAAATCCCAAATCACAATTTGAAATTTTCAAATCATGATTTTTGGAGAATTTGGGATTTCATCTCATGATATGAAATCATGAGATGAAACCAGCGTAAAATTGCGTGTCCAAACGCTGATTTCATCATGAGATGAAATCGCATGGCCATAATGCCTATTAAGTAAGATTATATGTACTTATTTATATTCTAACACTCCCCTTCAAGCTAGAGCATACAAGTCACATGTACCTAGCTTGTTACAAATGTAATTAATATGAGGATCGATGACAGGTTTGGTGAGATATTTGTAAGTTGATCACTTGACTTCACAAAATTGACCATCAATCTCAATGTGCTTACTCTTCTCTTGAAATATTGGATTTGATGCATAATAACAATCAATTTCAATGTGCTTGGTCTTTTCATGAAATATTGGATTTGATGCATAATGTCGATAAAACACAGAGTGATAAATTCCTAAATAATAGTGTTGAGCTTTCCAAGCCAAGCTTGAAAAGACTAGTTCAAACCATAGAGTGACTTACACAATTGAGATACAAGGCTACCAGATTCCCCATGAGTAACAAAATCAGGTGGTTGCTACATATTGACTTCTTCCTTGAGATCACTATAGAGAAAAACATTCTTAATGTCCAGATTAAAAGGCCAATGGAGGACGAAAATCATAGATAGAAAAAAAAAGGTGGACATATAATATTTTACCACGAGAGAGAAAGTATCACCGCAATCCAACACAAATATCTAGTATACCGTGTTTTTTGGCAAAAGTAAATTTGAAACAGGAAGTTCTTGAAATTTGATATAAAATATATGGATCATCTCGAAACCAAGGGATGAGTAGATCATAAACAAGAAGTCACCGTAAAACTTGTCAGAACATGCCCATGTTCTAGATTATTAGATTTGATGGTTGAAAGTGGTCACAATTTGAAAAAAAAAATTACATGGGTAGGGTCGGAATAATGACACGACCCTACTGGAAAATGAAATTATATAGGTAGAGTCGTATTGATGGCACAACCCTACTGAAAAAGAGAAATTGTATGGGTAGGGTCAGAATGATGGCACGACCTTACACAAATAAGAAAGTAGTCACCGGAAAAATGGCACGGTGCTACGCAAATTGAATATGAAAAAGTAGTCACCGAAAAGATGGCACGGTGCTACACAAATCAGATATGAGAAAGTAGTCACTAGAAAGATGACACAATGGTACACGAATAAGATATGAGAAAGTAGTCACCGGAAAGATGCACGGTGCTATGCAAATTAGATATGAGACAATAGTCATCGAAAGATACACGGTGACCCAACATTTGCTAACATAATTGTTGGCCAGACGGGAGGCATATATGGGTAGTAGTCACCTGTTAGCAGCGGAAGCTCTTTGATTCTCTACCAAGATCATAGAGGCTTTGATACCATGTGAGAAATATTGGAGAAGAATATTATT